CTTTGCAGTTTGGTCAGTGGGAAGGATGTGGCGTGGGTGCCTGGGGTCCTCTGACATGACCCCGCGCGTCTCTGACAGCCTCCTTGCTTCCTGCTTCAAACAAGATGTCCCGCGCCCCTCCTGTGATTTCATCGGCCGGACCCGCAGCCGCCTTGTGCCAGGGCCCTGGTTCTGGTGCTTCCGGACACAGGGGCCTGGACAGTAGGTTCACCCCACGTCCTGATCCCCAGTGAGGCTGGTGTCTCTCCCCCCCCCCTTAAACCTTTAAAACACAGGTTTAAGCGATTAGCATACATTTTTTTTTTTTGCACTCAGTGGTTTTACTAACTAGTGGTCCGCATCTTTCGTTCTGTTCAAAGGTGCCTTTTCACGTCTGTCTCAAATAGTTTGAAAATATGTGCTCCTTCCCCGCCCGCCTCTTACAATGTCTCCTTGAACTGCTGGTGATAAAGATGCTAAGTGCTCTTTCCTAGTCTCTGTTTATACGCTCACTCCCCATTCTGTGCCCCACACCGCCTGCCAGAGAGCAACCATCTCCAGGGCTTCTCCATCACCCCCAGGCAAACATCCACCCTCCTTAGCTCTGAATGCAAATATTTTCACCATCTGACCTCGGACTTATTTTCCAGCTTCATTTATCACTTATATTCCCGTCAAATGCTCATGTTATCATCGCTCCCCAGGCTCTGCCTTCCTAAACAGCTTATCCCTTCCCCCCACCATCCCCTGCCTCCCTCTTTACTTCCCCTTCATCACCCCAGAGCCCTCATATGTGTGCTGATGTCTATATTTTTAAAGAGTTCTTTATGCATACAAGAACTGGGGTACAGGCCAGAGGTGTGGGGGAGAGAGGACCCACCAGAGACAGAGTGGGGAACAGAACAGGCAGACTGACTGAAATCCACTGCTGAGGGGAGCAGCGGGCGAGTCAGGAGAGGTCTGCCGCGCCATGTGGGTAGCTCCCTGGCTGGGGATCAAACTCACGCTGCAGTGGCTGCAAATAGCTTCATAGGTTGTGTCTTAACCCCTTGCGCCACCAAGGAGGCCCATGACGTAGATATTTTAAAGAGTTTTATGTTGTCAAATTGCTATATGACTATCCCATATTTGTTTTTATTATTCTGACTTGTTTTGCTTCGTACATTTTCCCAAACTCCCTCCATTTTGTGGAAAATGTCTGCATTTCATCTTTTCTCATGGCTGTGTAATATTCCATGTTGAGTCTGGACCACATTTTTTTTTTTTTTGCTTCACTATTTTTATGGATTCATTCCTCCACCAAAGGAGATTTAGGCCGCCTCAAAGTCTCCGCTATTGTCAGTAACATCGCTGTGAATATTGTGGAACAGATGGGGATTTTTGTTGATAAATTTTACTTTATATCTTTATATCGTATGGTGCCGGTTCTCAGACGCCAGCAGAAGAGCACTTCCTGTACTCCGTGCAGAGCCACCTAACTCTCCCCACGGGTGTAACTGGGCCTCTTTTCTCACTTTGAGATGTGACTCCTTGACCAATCGCATCCACTGGAAACTCTCTGCTAGCTTGACCTTTGTCCAAGACAACTTTTTGTGGCAGCTTTTTGCAGTTTTTATGTCATCAAATCTGTTGATCTTTTTGTTTTATGGTTTTGGGGTGGGCCTTCTAGGGAAGCCTCGCAACTAGGTAAATTGCCTTTGGTCCCACCTCCAACGCTAGTTAGTGGCAAGCTGGGTACCCTGAGTATTTACCCTGAAAGTCAGTGCCTCGGGGTAGGTGAGAGAGGCCGAGGCAGTGAGGTGGGGTCTGCCGGATGAGCCAGGTGGATGTGTGAGGGTGACATGGGCTCAGGATTAACAAAGTCCTTTTCCGAAGGCCAGTGGGATAACCAAGTCTTGGCCAAGACCAGGGTGACCCAGAGGAGGCCTGACAAAGGGTGAGAACAGTACGTGCAAGAAGATTCAAGACTCCCATGGGGGGGAGGGGACAGCCTCAGGAGGAGACTGAACTGAAAAGTACCCCTGCACCCCAGGAGTCTGACCACATCAGTCCTGACTCTGGACACCCCGGGATCCCCCAGGGTGCTGCGGTTTTGCAGCACCTGAGTCCTGGCATAGAGGGTCCCTGGTGCCTCTTCCTGAGCACGATGCATATCCTGAAAGGCAGGCAGGCGCTGGCATCCTCCTAACACTGACAACTCTCTTGAGACTCAGCACCTGGCCTTCAAGCCCTTGACCTTGGAGCGGCACTGTCTGTTCTGGTGAGGGCGAGCAGGGACCTGTGCTTCGGGGTTCCTTGGCGCAGTACCCCCTGTGGCCACAAGGTGGCGGTGCTGCGCCATCAGTAGCTGCTGCCCCGGCCGGGGCGCTGCTGGGTCTCAGGATCACCCGCAGCTTCACTCCACCCAAACCCCCTTTCCTGATGCCACCCCGGAGCCTGAGCATAAATGGAGCGGGTATCTGTCGCCCTGTGTTGGCCAAATTCCGCAGGGAAAGGGGATGTGTTTCTAATGCTATTCCTCGTCTCTCCCCTCCTGGCAGGGCCCGTGTCTCCTCACAGGAGCCCCGTCTTCCGTCCATCTTCGCCCCAAACCAGCGTGGCCCGTGCACGGCCAGGACGGCCCTGCTGCAGGCTGTCCTGCGTGGGCCCCAAGGCGGCCGGGAAGAGGCCCCAGCTCTGCTCTCCCGCCGCCGTGTGGCTTTGAGGACAGTCCCGAACCTCTGGGAGCCTGGCCGAGCAGCAGCGTCCCTGCAGCCAGCCGCGCCGTGTGTTCCGCAGAAAGCTGGATCTCGGCGAGCAAAGACACCCCAATATTGTACTCCCCGGGGCAAACACAGGGGCGGCTTTCAGAGGCCGCGTACCGGAGTCTCTGAGTTTGCTCCCTTCGCATCACCGGTCCCCTGCCCTTTCCTCCCGAAGGTCATGCTCTGAGCGTCACCAGGCAGTCTCGGAATTGCTCAGACGTGAAAGAACGAAGCTTCTGATGTGTTGGGGAACCGGCTGGTGGTGATGCCCCGTCCCGCCTTCCTGCAGAGCATCGCTTACAAACTGACAGAAGCTTCTCATTTGAAAACTACCGGCGTGTGGTCTATTATTCCACCGCAGCCTGTTTCCTTTCGTCGGCGTTGCCCTGCCTACCTTGCAGGATCGCTGTGGAGATTAAAAAACGCAATCGTGTCAGAGAAAACACTTTTCAAAGAGGGCGACACAGCAGCAAAATAGCAGGATGCAAGGGCCCAGGGTACAAACTCCTGATTGCTTGCAGGATAAAAGAAAAACACCTTCTCCAGACCCATCAGCGCCTCCCGCACACGCCCTCCCGCCCTCCCGGGCCCGTCTCCCTCCACACACGTCCTGGGAGGCGGCCAACCCAGGGCAGGAGCTGCCACCACCACGGTCTCCTGAGACGACCCCCCCCTCCGCACCTGCTAAGACCCTCCAACACCTTTAGGTCCCTCTTCAGCAAACCCGCACATGTGTGGGTGTTCCCTTTAACCCCAGGTAAATGGACTCGCGCTCAGCCTGCACCCGGCTCTTCTTGACGGCATACGTCGTGGATGGGCTCCATGCCAGCGGACCGCCTGGCTCCCTGCTTTGCACAGCAGTTGACATCACCCAAATTACCCCTCTAGTCTATTTAACACGCTTCGCCCTGGGGGTGGGCAGGTGCTGTGGCTGCAGCCAGGCAGTGATCACCACCCCCCACCCCCCCCCCCCGCCGCTGGAGAGCCCCATGTCTCTGCGGGACAACCCCCTGGCAAGGCCTAGAATCCCACCCTCAACAGCCTCCTACAGCGCCTCCCTTGCCCTCAGCAGCAGCGACAGCTCAGGTGCAAGGAGCTCCCCAGAGTGTTAAATGGGAGCGGTGCTGGGTTCGAACCCCGGCCGCTCCACCTCCGTCGCCTCCACCAGGGCTTGCTTGTCCCCAAGCAGATGACGGTGGAGCCGCTTCCGGAGCCGTCCCAGGAGCAGGGGAGGCTGCCCGTCCAGCCCTGGGCTCCGGGGAAGGGGCGGGATGGCTTCCTTCCGCCCAGGGTAGCCCCAAGGGCGCGCCATCCCGCTGCCAGTGCTTTCCGGGCACTTCTCTTGTAGGTCGGGGTCTTGTTCCTCTCTGCGCCCCGCATGGGGTGGGTGCACAATAACAGCCTCTGCGTTGCCGCTGAGGAGCAGTCCTCCGACTTGGGGGTCCCCCACCCCAAGAAGAGTTTCCCTGCATGATGCCCTGTAGTCAGGAGCCTCTCCCCTCTTTCCATTCCTTAACCACCCACCCCATTAGGGGCAGTGAGAAGTAACACAAGGGTGCTGGAAGGGGTGCACAGGGGCTCTGGAAGGGGCCAGGCCCCTCTCCCTCCCCCAGGCCTGAATCCCAGCCAGACCTCCCCAAGGGGGAGGGGGAGATGACAGCCACCAGGGCTGATGAAGGGGCATCTGGACTTTGGGGTTCCAGCAGGGCTCAGCTGGCGCCCTGCCCCTGGGCCCAGCACTCCCAGGACAGATGGGCAGTCCCGGTCCTGCCTATGGAGGGGGCAGTTCACGAATTTTGGCCCTGGCGGCAGCAGGGAGAGACCTGTTCCCCCACCCCCCACCCCCGCCCCTGGCCCCCTGCGGGGGTGGGTGGGGGAGAGTCAGTGCCCCCGGAGCCGCAGGGCTGGGGAGAGGCCGAGGCCTCGGGACGAAGCCTGAAGGCCCAGCGTGCCCGGGCCCAGGGCGAGTCGAGCCGGGCTCGGTTAAGGAGGCCGCCCCGCCCCGCCCGCCCCGCCGACCCCGGCCGCCTCCAGACCCGGCTCCTCCCTCTGCGCGCGCCGCCTCGGGGGCTCCAGTCGGGGGCCGAGGCCGCGTGGGGCTCCCCTGGTCCGCCCTGAGGAGGCTCCCGGGACTCCCCAGAGCCCGGCGCCAGCCCGCCGGGGCGCGCTCCGCGCGGGGGGGCGCTGGGGCGGGATGCGCGGCCCGCCGGGCTGCACGGGGCCCGGGGCGCGGGGCGGGCGCTGCACGGCGATGTGACGCCCAGCGGCGGCGATCCGGGAGGACTTCCCGGAGGCGGCGGCTGAGCGACACCCGGGGTAGGAGGAACAGCTGAGCTGAAGCTCGCGGGGCCAGCCCGCCGGGCCCGAGGCGGCGGCACCGGAGGGGAGAGGAGGGGGTGGCGGGGGGTGCAGGGGGGTGGCGGGGGGTGGGGGGGTGGAGGAGGGTGGGGGGTCCTCGGGGGACGCTCCCGGGGCGGGGTGACGGGTGAGGGCGGCTCGGGCCTGCCTCACGCGCTTTGTCTTGGGAGGGGAAGCGGGAGGCAGGGCCGGCGCCCGGAAGAGACCAGATCCGGCGGAAAGCAGGGTAGTGCCCGGCGGGAACCCCCAACCCCCGGGCCCGAGCGCAGGAGCGGCGGGATCCCACCCAGGGGGAGGCCCCCCAGGGGCCGCCCCGCCCCGCCCCTGGCCCCGCCCCCGGGATCCAGGCCCCGCCCCGTCCCGCCGGCCCCGCCCCGCCCCGCCGCCCGCGCTCCGGTGGGGAAGGGGCGGGGCGGAGAGTCCCCGCCCCCGGGATCCAGGCCCCGCCCCGCCCCGCCGGCCCCGCCCCGCCGCCCGCACGCCGGTGAGGAAGGGGCGGGGCGGAGAGTCCCCGCCCCCGGGATCCAGGCCCCGCCCCGCCGCCCGCGCGCAGGTGGGGAAGGGGCGGGACGCCGCGGCCCCGCCCCCAGGGGCCACCGCCCAGCGCTGGCCGCGCCGCTGGGAGCTGCGTCCCGGGGCCGCCGCGCCGCAGCCGGTGAGCGGGGGCGACGGGCGGGGGCGCGGGCGGGGGCGCGGGCGGGGGCGCGGGCGGGCGCGGGCGGGCGGGGGCGCGGGCGGGCGGGGGCCGCCGGGCCGCGGGCGACGGAGGGTCCGCGGGGTCGCGCCCGAGCCGGCCGGGGCGGCGGTGCCCGCCCCGCGCTCCAGCGCTCGGGCGCACGTGGGCCGCGCAGGCCGGAGAGCGCGCGGGGCTGCCGGGCCGCCCGCGGGCCCCGGGGTTCGGCTGGGCCCGGCGGCCCCCGAGCGCGGTCACCGGCTGACGACGGGGGGGAGAGTGAAGTCCGGGCGGGAGCGCGGGGCCGCCCCGCGCACCCCCGCCCCGCGCACCCCCGCCGGCCCGGGGCGCCGGATCCAGCCCCGCCCGCCCTCCCGCGCCCCGAGCCCGCGGCCTGGCCGGGGCAGCCGCTCAGCCGCGGGTGAGCAGGTGCCGCGGACTCGCGGCGGGGGCCTCGGAGCGCGCACGCTGGGCCCAGAGTCCGGCTTCGGACGGACGGGCCGGGCCGGGAAGGTTGGCCCCCCGGTTCCCCCGGGTCTAGGCTAAGGAGGGAGGTGGCCCCGGGGTGCTTGCCCCCCACCCCTGCGGGCCCCGGCTCGGCCGTCGGCCCTGCTGCAAGGAGTGAGAACAGGGGAAGGCTGTGGGCTGGGCTCCTGCGGGGTGTGAGGCGGGGAAGCCTGGAGGGGCCCCCAGGGGTGTGCCCCGGCTCCTGGATGGCTGGCCCCGGCACCCCGTGTGTGAGACACTTGCTGGCAAATGATGAGCCCGACCTCTGCGTGCGCGGCTGTGCCCTGTGGGCAGGGCAGGGGGACATGGAAGGGGAGCGTGTGGGGCAGTGGCTCTCCGCCTGGGGTGATTTTGCCCCGTAGGGGATGTTTGGCTGCATCTGGAGACACTTTGGCTGCCACAGCTTGGAAGCAGGGGGCTGAGCGTAGTTGTTGCTTTTAGCATTTAGTGGGTGAGAGGCAGAGAGGCTGCCGAGCGTCCTACCGTGCCCGGGACCGTGCCCGGGACAGCCTGCGGGACAGAGGTGGACCCAGCGCAAAACCCACCAAGCCTGAGAAACCCTGAGTTCCTTCTCACCAACTTCCACTCGCTGCCTCAGTTTCCCTAGGGTTAGGGGTGGAACCTGGAATAAACCTAAAGGAAATAGAGGCAGGACATGCAAGGGCAGCTGTTCCCCTCGCCAGAGGCCTGCCTCGGGGCCATCGGCCTCTGTCCTGCAGGAAGTGAGTCTGGGTGTGGTGGGGGAGAAGCTGAGATGGGAACTGGGGTCCTCTTACAGCTCAGTCTAGAGTGCTGGGCCCCAGACAGCTCCCCCACACAGGAACTCAGATGTCCACACTCTGCAGGGAGGAAGGGGGTGAACTCTGTTTTCCTAGGTTTTCCAGAGCGTTGCCTGATGTCACGTGACCTGCAGGAATTTTCCCTTCTAAACTCACGCCTAACTCTTCCAGTTATTCACACCAGGAAAATAACATCCAAGGAACAGCAGGGCCCCGAATTCCTTGTAGCTCCCCAGTCTGCTTCCTTCCTGCAGGGCAATGCTCCCCTGTGGCTAGGGGAACCCGGATTAGGTGAGGCCTGCGTCCTGATGCAAGGGGCGAGCCCCCACTCTGGGTGTCAGCTGAGCGTGTGAGAGATGGGGTCCTCAGAGTCACAGGCCGGGAGGACCCCCACTAGGGATGACTCCAGGTGGTCTGAGCTGGACGCAGTGGTGTGTCTCCACTTCAGGGCGTGGAGGGGGTGGCCGTCTTGGGCAGGGTGGAATACAGTGGCCCTTCATGCCCAGGCTGCCCTCTGGGGTCAGGGGCAGGTGGCAGTTTCTGGCTTCACTTTTGCTTGTGGGTTGGGCTTTTCGTCTTTTAACTTTAAAAGATTGGCGTGTGTGCTCGCTTCGGCAGCACATATACTAAAAGATCGGCATGAGACTCCTGGTGTGGGCCCCTTAAGGCTGGCAGTGCCCTGGCTGGTACAGAGCTGTTCAGGAAGTCAGTCTGCAGCCCAGCTCCCAAGCCTCGTACTGCCTGCAGGGGCTGGGGGGACCCACTCGGAGGCCACTGGAGTCTGTGAGCCGTGGTAGTCTTCCTGTGGCCTCCGGAGGGTTTCTGTCAACCCACTGTGTAAATAACCCAGGTGAGACCCACCAGTTGAGTGGAGGGAGTGATTTGGGTGAGCCTCCTGGCACTGCCCTCTGGGTCAGGAAGGGTGGTGTTGGGATGGGGCGGCCCAGCCCCCCACCTCTCTGTGGATGCCTGTCCCCACCTGCACATCCCAAAGGTGCCTGGCATCTGCCGGGGAGCAGGCTTCTGCTGCCCTGGCCTCCCGTGGGGATTTCCAGAGTGAGCTCAGTGTCTGCTCCCAGTTTCCTATCCCGCTGAGCCAGCTGGGGGAGGAGTGGCCCGGACAGACGTCAGCGCTGCCCCGTGCAGGCTGACCTCGCGCCTGCGCGCGGCCTGGCAGAGAGGAGACAGCCAGGCCAGCTGGGAGGCACTGCCCCTCCCTGGGGAAAACAAGGACCTTTCCTAGACCGTCCAGGGAGCTCCTGCTGCCTTAGTGACTTGTGTACATGGGGGTTCATCCTTTCTCTTCCCCAGAGTAGAGCCAGTGTCCACGTTCCCTCCCCACCTTTGGTAAATATCTCAGGGACGCAGATGTAAATTGTTGGCAGTTCAGAAGCGGCCAGAGGCATGCTGGTGGAGGCCTCTGGGAAAGTGGGTGGGGCACAGTGGGCCTCCAGGTGAGCTGGCAGGACGCTGGCCTGGAGGGTGGAGGTGGTGGGAGGCGCAATTAGCAGCCTGGAGGCCAGCAGGCCCTGTGGGCTGGGGGAGTGTGGTCAGCAGGGTGGGGGCCACTTAAGTAGTCTGCCTCAGTTTTCCCAGCTCTTTTTTTTTTTTTAAGATTTTATTTTTGCATAGAACTGGGGTACAGGCCAGAGGTGTGGTGGGTGAGAGGATTCACCAGAGACAAAGTGGGGAGCAGAACAGGCAGATCCACTGAAATCCACTGCTGAGGGGAGCAGCGGGGAGACAGGAGAGGTCTGCTGCTCCATGTGGGTAGCTCCCTGGCCGGGGATCGAACTCAGGCTGCAGCTGTGACAGCTTGAGACTTCACCCCTAGGCCGCCAGGGAGGCTGTCTCCCAGCTCTCAAGGGGGCTGACACAAGTCTACCTGGAGGCAACCAGTGGTCATTTGTGTGGAAGCTCTGGCCCAGAGCCCAGGGAGGGAGCCGGCATGGGAGCAGCCACTGCTGCTAGGAGCCCTTGGCACAGACTCGGTGATGCCTGAGGCCTGGCCTGGTGGGCTGTTGGGGGACTAGATGGGACTGCCGCGGAGTGGCGGGGCCTGGCATGGGAGATGTCAGCACCCTGGAGTCCAAGGGAACGTTGGGCCTGACCTGCCCTGCCCCAGGGTCTTCCCTGCCGCTGCAGTGTGTGTCCTGGTGACAGGGATGGGGGTCATGGGGGGTGAGGCCCCTGGGCCCAGCCCCTCTGCAGGGAGCGAGCAAGCCTCAGAACCTTAGACCCTCCTCCCACGTATGCCCATTACCTGTGCTGAGAGTCCTGGGGCCGTGAGCACCTCGCCCTCTCCAAGGGGCTCTCCCCAGGTCCTGCTGCGGCCCCCTGAGGCCTGGGGGGTAGTGCGGGGGGTCCTCTGTGTGGCTGGGCGCAGCAGGATTGGGAACTGAGGTCTGGCTGAGTCCTTGCTGTGGCCTGGGGCCTTATCAGTCAGCCGTGGTGGTGAGGTGAGGACAGGACCGGTGAGATAATGGTTGTGCAAGGGGGGGGCGGCCCAGCCTGCCCAGCCTAGGTGTTGTCGTTTCTGCCTGGGGCCTGGGAGGGGCTTGCGAGTCTAAGGCCGCACCAGACCTCAGCTGCCTGCCAGGCCCTGGATGTTCAGGGGCGACCCTGGCCTGTTCTTTTGCCCCTGATTTCATAGTTCCGGGTGGCAGGAGAGTACAGAAAGTGAGGGCCGCAGCCCCACCACCTCCTAACTGTGGGACCTTGCTGGGACAGGTGACAGCCTCACTCTCCCCACCTGTCAGATGGAGATCTGTAACCTCTGGAGTTCCGGCTCACGTACAGAGGCCAGGGGAGCCTCGGAGGCAGCAGGCAGGTGGAAATGAAGGGCCTGTCGACTTCCGGCCTCTGATTTTATGCCAGGTGCTGGCCATTCACAAGCTCGTGTCGTCGCTACTGGGTCCCTGCTTAGGGGAGTCCCTCACCCCATTTCACAGCAGAGGAAACAGGCCTAGAAACAGAAACTTGTCCAGTCTCTCAGGCCA